GAAAGAGAGGAGGAAAGAGAGGACCCAATGACCCCATGACCCCCCTCATGCACCCCAATGACCCCATAGTGCCACTGAAGCCCCCCAATGACCCCATAACCCCCCTCAGGGCCCCAAATGACCCCATGACCCCTCTCATGCACCCCAATGACCCCATAACCCCCCTCAGCCCCCCAGTGTTCCCCCTCAAACCGCAAATGGCCCCACAATCCCCCTCAGACCCCAAATGAGACCGAGGTTCCCTCTCAGACCCCAAAGTTTGCTGGACCTGCCAACCTGGGGACATGGAGGTTCTGGGAATGGGGAGTTTTGGGGTTCTGGGAATGGGGGAGTTTTGGGGACATGGAAAGGGGTTTTGGGAGTGAGGTAATTTTGGAGACATGGAGGTTCTGGGAATGGGGGAGTTTTGGGGTTCTGGAAATGGGGAAATTTTGGGGTTCTGGGGACGTGGAATTTGGGTTTGGAAATGAAGGAGTTTTGGGGACATGGGAGTTCTGGGAATGGGGGAGTTTTAGGTTTCTGGAAATGGGGGAGTTTTGGGTTTCTGGGCATGGGGTAGTTTTGGTTTTCTGGAAATGGGGGAGTTTAGGGGTTCTGGAAATGGGGAAGTTTTGAGTTTCTGGAAATGGGGGGAGTTTTGGGAACATGGAGGTTATGGGAATGAGGGAGTTTTGGGGTTCTGGGCATGGGGGAGTTTTGGGTTTTTGGGCATGGGGGAGTTTTGGGTTTTTGGGAATGGGGAAGTTTTGGGGGACACGGAGCTGCGTTCTGTGGGAATGCGGGAATCGCGGAGTGACTCCCGGCCGTGTCCCGCAGGATGAAGGAGTGGTGGCTGCAGGTGGGGCTGCTGGGCGTGCCCCTCCTCGCCGTCTACCTGCACATCCCGCCCCCGCAGCCTTCCCCGGCACTCCGCTCCTGGAAATCTTCCGGAAGCTTCTTCACCTACAAGGACCTGAACGTCTTCTACAGAGGTGACGGAGCCGAACCGCGGCGGCCACAGGGACATTGCGAGAACTGGGCAGGGTGGGGACAAATCCTGGTTTTTGCCCTCCTGGATCGGGCAGGGATGGGTGAGAACATTCCACCGGGGAAAGTTGGGAAGGATCCCAGGAGTCTCCGATGGATTCCAACGTGGAAAAGACACTGGAAACCCTTTGAGCACCAGCGCAGAGGCTGCTGGAATTAATTTGGGCTAATTAAATCCATGGATTGATCACGGAGCCTATGAGGTTTCCCAAGGGAAGCTGCAGTGGGAATCAAACCCATCCCTGGTTTTGGGGAGCAGAGGGAGAGGCGGATTCCCAAGGGGATGAGCAGCAATTCCCATCCTAGCAGGGAGGAATTTTGGGAAGAGCTGACTCGGAGGCGTCCCGTTCTTCTCCCTGCAGATTCCAGCGGCGCCGTTGGCAGCTCTGACGTCGTGGTGCTCCTGCACGGCTTCCCGACGTCCAGCTACGACTGGAGCAAGGTGAGGGCACGGGAATCTGACAGCAAATCCCAGGATTTTCGGCTCCTGGGAATGAGCGGGCAGCAGAGCAGGGGTGGGAGGCTCCAGAGGAGAATTCCTGATTTCTCCTGGAGTCACCGTGTCCCTCTCCCAGTGTGAAATCCGAGCTTTTTCCTCATCCCGCGGCAAACAGCCACAAGAATTCCTTGTTTTTTTCTGGGGGATCTTGGGAAATTTTGACCTCCTGCTGTTTCCTTGGCTTTTTCTGGGGGATCTTGGGAAATTCTGACCTCCTGCTGTTTCCTTGGAGCTGGGACGTTCTCCTGGCACGGTGGCGAGGAGCACGTCCATCCTGCAGCCGTTTCCATCCTCCGCTCCCACTGGACGCTTTTCCAACGCGTTTCTCCTCTTCCCAGATCTGGGAAGGGCTGACCCAGCGCTTCCACCGGGTGATTGCCCTGGATTTCCTCGGATTTGGATTCAGTGACAAGCCCGTGAGTACCCCGCCACCAGGATTGTCCCGGCTGCTTTCGGCACAGCGCTCCGGAAAATCGGTTTTTGCCATCCAAGAGTTTTTCCTTGGATTTTCCTCTGGAAAAGGGATAAGGAAGTGGAAGGGTTGCGGTGGACCTGGGTTTGGTGGGACTCCAAAACACACCTGGAGCCCTTTGGAGCATGGAGAATGCTCCGGCGGCCTCCACGGGACATCCCGAGCGCCGAGGCCGCGGGAGTGAGCCGCTGCTTTCCTTATCCCGTGTTTCCACATTCCTCAGAGCCCAAACGTGGCTGGAGCTGCTGGGGATGTGGAAATTCTGGGAATGGGGGAGTTTTGGGATTCTGGGAATGGGGGAGTTTTGGGGTTCTGGGAATGGGGGAGTTGTGGGGACGTGGAAAGGGATTATGGGAATGGGGGAGTTTTGGGGACACAGAGGTTCTGGGAATGGGGGAGTTTTGGAGACCAGGAAAGCGATTATGGGAATGGGGGAGTTTTGGGATTCTGGGAATGGGGGGAGTTTTGGGGACATGGGTGTTCTGAGAATTGGGGAGTTTTGGGATTCTGGGAATGGGGGAGTTTTGGGGATGTGGAAAGGGATTCTGGGAATGGGGGGACTTTTGGGGACATGGAAAGGGATTCTGGGAATGGGGAAGTTTTGGGGTTCTGGGAACGGGGGAGTTTTGGGATTCGGGGAATGGGGGAGTTTTGGGGACATGGAAAGCGATTATTTGGGGACATGGAAAGCGATTATGAGATATTCATCCTGGAATATCTGCTGCCTCCGGCTCTCACCGGGACCCCTCTCCCGTTTTTCGGCAGAGACCCCACGGCTACTCCATCTTCGAGCAGGCCACCATTGTGGAGGGGCTGCTGCGCCACCTTGGGCTCCGGCACCAGAGGATCAATCTCCTGTCCCATGATTACGGGGACACGGTGGCCCAGGAGCTGCTCCACAGGTCCCTGCCGCCCTTCCTGCCCTCTCCTGTCCCCTCCAAGATGATTTCCAGCAGATAAGTGGAAGGACGTGGCGCAGAATTCCCCCTTTTCCCGCCGCCTCAGGCGTCTCGTCCGTCCCAATTCCCAAATTTTCCATGGAAACGGAGATGATCCGCCACAATCTGAGCTCGTGCCGGGTCGTTCCTGGGAGCTGGCGGAGGTTTGGTTGGGTTTCACCTTCTGCTCTGCTGTCCCCAGGTATGAGCACAATAAAACCGGGAGCATCCTGATCAACAGCCTCTGCTTGTCCAACGGAGGTGAGGATCCACCAGGGCAGGGGGGGGATACAGGGGATCTGGGGGGATCCACGGGATGGGGATCTGTGGGATGGGGATCTGTGGGATGGAGATCCATGGGATGAGTGTCCGTGGGATGGGGATCTACGGGATCTGTGGGATCCAGGGGATCTGGGGGATCAATGGGATGGAGATCCATGGGATGGGTGTTTATGGGATGGGGATCCACAGGATCTGTGGGATCCACAGGATGGGGATCAGTGGGATGGGGATCCACGGGATGGGATCTGTGGGATGGGGATCTGTGGGATCCACAGGATGGGGATCCATGGGATCTGTGGGATGGGATCAGTGGGATGGGGATCTGTGGGATCCGTGGGATGGGGATCCATGGGATGGGAACCCACGGGATGGGTTGGCCTTCCCATCTCCATCACCCCAATCCCACGGACTGCAATCAAGGCGCTGTAATTAACCAGGAGCACCAATGCTGGTCTCCCTGGGCTGCTTCCGTGGCTCCGTGCAGGGGGACAAAGTGGGAGAGGCGGAGCGGAGCGCTGCCAGCGTCCCAGCTCTGTTCTCTGGTCCCTTCCAGGGATTTTTCCCGAAACGCACTACCCCCGCTTCATCCAGAAGGTGAGCTGCTCTCGTCCTGCTCCATCCCAAAATAAATAAACACCCCTCGGATCATCGCTGCTGTCGCACCCCTCCTCGAGGGCCTGGGCTGGGAGAGATGGGAAAAGCTCTCCGTGGATTTATCCAGGTGGCCGATGCTGAGTTGTACTCTCTCCTTTCTTCCCAAAGCTCCTCGTGGATGGGGGGCTGCTCTCCCCCGTCATCCTGCGGCTCATGAACTTCTTCTTCTTCTCTGGAGGGTGAGACGGCTCTCGGGGGCGCTGGGGACAATCCCTGAGGGTGTGAACCGAGTGGGGAAAGGGGGAATGCGGGAATTGGAAAGGAATTCTCGGCTGGGAGGGCGAGGAGACCGCGGAGTGGAATTCCCAGAGAAGCTGTGGCTGCCCCTGGATCCCTGGAAAAGTCCAAGGCCGGGCTGGAGCACCGTGGGATAGCGGGAGAGGTGTCCCTGGCGATGGCTGGGGAGGGAATTCTTTAATTCCCTTTAATTTATAATTAAATAAATAATTTAATTCCCTTAAATTCCAAACCGTTCCGTGGTTCCGGAGCAGATTCTCTGGCGCTGTCCCCGGAGAGCTGGGACTGACCTCTGGCCCAGCACTTCACTTTAACAACAAACCAAACTTTTCCCTGGACACTGAAATCCTCCTCTCCCACAAATCACCCCTGCACCATCAGATTTTTCTATTTTTAGCAGTGTTAAAAATGTTTTTCCCCCCAAAAAAAAGCCTTTTGAGGCCATCCAACATTTATCCCAACTTATCCTGGGGACATCTCAACACTCGGAGTTTTGCTGTGGAAACTGGAAGAGCTGGAATTTTTTCCACCTCTGTTTTTTTTGAGTTTTTGAGTGGTTCCCTGACACTGGAATTTGTCTCTCCAAATCCCATTTTTTTTCCCAGGCTCAGGGCAGTTTTCGGGCCCTACACGCAGCCCTCCCAGGCGGAATTCTGGGATATGTGGACGGCGGTGCGGAATAACGACGGGAATCTCGTTATGGACAGGTACCTCAGCACCAATTCCCGCATCAGCTTCGTGTCACAGCGGCTCCCAGGTTCCCAGAGCTCAAGCCAGGCTTCTCCAGAACTTTGCAGCTGCTTCTTTTGGAGTCTGGGATCAACACTACATCCCAAAAAAAAAGGAGCTGGGGGGTGATGTTGGAGCAGGGATTCTCTGGGATGACGCGAGGCAGGGAAATGAAGGTTGGAGTTGGATCTGAGATGATTTTTTCTTTGGAAAGGCTTGGATTTGGGGGGGGGTTGGCAATGATTTGAGCTCAACCTGTGACAGATATTTGAGCAGATTCCCCCCAACATCATCCCGGGAGAGATCTGAACCTTCCGGACCATTCCCAGAAGTCCCAATCCCAAATCTTCACCTTGGGAATTTCGGAAGGGACACGTTTCTTCCAGTCTGTGGCTTTTAGAAGGGTCTTGGGCTGGTGGCTGAGCTCTGTTCCGTGTCTCCCCTTGGTGGGAGAAGGGAGAGGCTGAGCCCGGGGATGATGGTGCGGTGCTGCTTTCCCACTGGAGACGCAGATCCCACCCGGAATTTTGCGTCCGTGGCCCAAATTCCAGGCTGGGCGGCGTCCCCGGCGTAACGATGACTTTTCCTGCAGTATTTTGCAGTACATAAACCAGAGGAAGAAGCACAGAGAGCGCTGGGTTGGGGCTTTGACGTCTACCTCGGTCCCATGTGAGTAGGAATCCATTCCTCGACCCGCTGGGATTTTTGGGAATTGCGCCGGCTCCTTCCATCGACCTCTGGTTTTTTGGAGCTCAAATCCAGTTTTCCAGCTGAGATAACGTGCCCTGGCTCACAGCTGCTTCTCCAAGTGCTGCTCCAGGGAAGTTGAGGAGTTTTTCCAAGCCCCAAAAAGAAGTTGGGAACAAACCCAGGGGTTGGAGGTTGAACTTGACCCCGGGGCAGAGCGGAGCTGGTTTGTTCAGGGCTCCACTGGAAGCTTCCAGAGCTTTGTGTGAGGAGGGAACACCCCTGGAGGTCTCCTTGGGGATGTTTCAACGAGGGAATCCATGAATTCATGGATAGGAAAGCTGTGCCTGTGCTTCCCTTGCAGTGCATCTCATCTACGGCCCCCTGGATCCTGTGAATCCACACCCCGAGTTCCTCCAGCTTTACAAGTAAGACAAAAAGTGGGAATTTTAACTTCTTTAAAAAATTTCTTTTTTCTTTCTCTTGATTTTGCTGAACTTCTTTTCACTCCTGGATTTCTCAGTCTCCTCCTCTGAGCTGAGCTCTTTGGGGATATTCACGGGGAGTTCTGTTTATCTCAGTTCTCTGGGTCAGAAGAAAACTCCAGAGCTCGTTAGGATCTTGTTGCTCTTGTGTTAATTAGGATGTTATCACAAAACTTGGCAGGTCTCTCCAGACTTTCTGCACAAGTTTAATTCATCTTGTCTCTTTGGCTCACTTTGGCTCTGATGGCACAAAATGGCCCTGAACTACGCAGTTCTTTCATCTTTATACTTATTTTTACCCAATTAACAATAGACATGTTAATTATTTTTCTTAATGACCCAATGACCCATCACCTGTGTGCTGCACTGTGACATTTTCTGTCCAATCACCTGCAATTACCCAAAAACCTCGAGAAGAAGAAAATTAAGAAAGAAGGAAAAGAGACAACATTCTAAATCCTCCTATCTTGTTTTCTATTTTCTAAACTAGTTTAAACTCTTTTTCACTCAGTGACTTAAGAAAACTTTAATTTACACACTCACACTTTTAGCTTTTCTATCTAACTTTTAGCAGTTATTTTCATGTATCACCATGAAAACACTCCCATAAATTTCATGTTGTGTGAAATTCAGTGTTTTTCTGGATCTCAGCCATCAGAGACGAGGGCTCACACTCTGTGTCTCAGCCTCCAGCAGGAATGTGCAACCGGGGCTTCACTTGGGTATTTTTCCTGGCTATTCCTCTAATTCCATCCTGCTGGAAGCTGTTTTTAATTCCCACTCATTGTGTTTAATTAACACATTGAAGAGTGTTAATTCCCACTCTCACCTGCACAGGCAGTTTGGAAGTTGGTGCGTTTTAGGCACCAAAACGAGGATTTTCGGTCGATGCCGTGCTCTGTTTTAAATCCACACAGGGAAGATTTATTTCCTGAGGAAATCTCCCACCTCACTCAAAACCTACACTTGGAAAGGATCGGATGGAGCTGCTCCAGGCTTTTTTTTTTAAATCCCAAAAAAGTGGCAGAACCCTTGGCTGCAGCAATTCCTGTGCTTAATCCTGGCTCCTTTTTTTCCCCACCAGGAAGGAGCTTCCCACGTCCACGGTGTCGGTGCTGGATGATCACATCAGCCACTACCCCCAGCTGGAGGATCCCACGGGATTTCTCAATGCCTACCTGAACTTCATCAACTCCTTCTGAGCTGCTGCAGCTCGGTTTTCGTTCTAAGCAAAAGAATCAGGCTTTGGGGGCAGGAAAAACAAACAAACAAACACGGATTTTTTCTCTCCCGCATCCGACACGGCCTCGTCCTGGGTTGATAAACTGAGTTAAATCCTTGGAGAGATGGAAAAATGAGGGGAAAAGCAGGATGCTGGCAGCTCTTCCAGCCCTGCACTCCCCTTTTTATCCAGCTTGGCTCTATTTAGAGAGGCAGAGGTTTAAATTAACATTAAATCACAATTTCTTACTTTGTCGCCCTGACTTGGGAAGAAACAACCAGCAGGGAGAGGCAGAATTTCCCTGACAGAATTCCCTCCATCCCCCTCCTTTCCCGTTTTTCCAGATGGGATTTTCCCCCACTTTGAAGCCAGGAAAAGTCTGCCCTGAGGGTTGGTTATTACCTGACATAAAGCTCAGAGAATTGAATCTGCTTCAAGAGATGGAGTTTAATCTCTCGCTGTACATTGATTTTTCTGTGTGGAAGAAGAGAAAGTCACAAAAATATTGCAGATTTGGAGGTTTGGGGTGGTTTTTAATTGTTGGGAATTTAATAGCATCCCTTTAGGAATAAGGGGTTTTTTTGTTTAATAAACAGCCATTATGGGCTGTTTTTTTTCTGTACTGGAACAGACAGAATTAGAACAAAAAAAAATAAATAAAATTTCTATTTTATTAACAGCAATTCATATGAATTCCACCACTTGAACCAGTGTTTATTTTTCTGTTAATAAAAAGCAATTTTGACAAAAAAAAAAAAAAAACCTGATTCCATTTTTCCCTTCCCTGGTTGAGATTCCATGAGTTAGGTGGGAATGTGTCGGTGACGACGAGGGAGGGGACACGGGAACGGCTCAGCACTGACGCCATACAAAAGATTTCCCAAATTCAGGAATAAAAACTAAACATGCAGAAAAGTAAAAAAAAAAAAAAGAAAATAATAGAAAAGGAAGGAGGAATTCCAGGAATTTCTCAGCCCACGGAAGCCAGGATGACATCGACGGACGTCTCGTCCTTGCTCCTGACCGTCACCTGCATGGTCACACCGTCCCCAAGGGCCAGCCTGGACCTGACCAGCACGTCACAGCCACCTCTGTACACACCTGGGGCGAAGGAACAGGGAGAGGTCACTCTGGAGAGCCCCAGGGATCCTGTCCTGATCCAGGGATTGCCTTCTCAGCCAGGCTCGCGACCCTGTGGGATTCTCCGGAGTGGAAAGTTGGGAAAGGTCCTGGGGGTGGTGGTGGCAGGGGGGGGGATGTGGCCGGGTGGGCAAGAGGATGATGGGCACAGCCTCTCCTGAGGGACAGCCTGGAATTCCGGGAATTCCAGAGAGCCCTGGAGGAGCTGGAACGTGTCCAGGGAAGGGAACAGAGCTGGGAAGGGGTTGGAGAATTCCTGAGGGAGATGGGAACCTGAGGGAGCTGGAGAATTCCTGAGGGAGCTGGAAAGGGGCTGGAGAATTCCTGAGGGAGATGGGAAGGGGCTGGAGAATTCCTGAGGGAGATGGGAAGGGGCTCAGCCTGGAGAAAAGGGGGATCAGGTGGAATTTCTGGCTCTGCACAACTCCCTGCCAGGAGGGGACAGCCGGGCAGGATTTGGGATCTTATCCCAGGGAACGGGGACAGGAGGAGGGGGAACGGCCTCAGGATGGGCCAGGGGAGCCTCAGGGTGGATTTTAGGGAAAATTCCTCCATGGAAAGGGGGGTCAGGCACTGGAAATGCCCAGGGCAGGGGGAAGTGCCCATTCCTGGAGGGATTTCCCAGCCCTGGGGATGTGACACTTGGGGACAAGGTGGGGCAGGGGTGGCCTTGGCAGTGCTGGGAATGGTCAGGAATGGTCTGAGAGGGCTTTTCCAGCCTAAACAATTCCATGATTCTGGAAGAATCTGTGGGTGCTGCAGGACAACTGAGGAACTTGAGAACAAGCAGCTCCCAAACAAACTCAGGAAAGGGATTTAATGATGCCTGCTCTGGAAATTCTCCAATCAGGGATTCTCCACCACTCCCACAGGTGGAATTCCCACATTCCCACGGTGGAATTCCCACATTCCAACAGTTTTGGCCTGAGCATATCCAAGACAGAAATCTCCCAGTTAGGACCAGCTGCATTCAACACATTTCAAAAATCCCAAAATAACAATTATTAAATTATAAATAATATAAGATCTCCTGAATAATTACTTTTCATTTAGAAAAATCCGTGGGGATGTGGAAATTGGGAATTGAGCAGCAGGAACACTCACCAGCCAAGTAGAGGGTGTGAGAATTTTTGTGTGTGAGAATTTTTGTTTTCTGGCACTTTGTCTGACCTCTCACAGGGCTGCATGCCCAGGAATTTGATGATGTTGTTGACAGCTTCTGCATTTGGAAATTGAAAAGAGAAAATGAAATTATTCCGGGTAATTATTTATTACACTAAATAAAAAAAATGAAATAAATTAATTAAAACTAAATAAACAAATTATTAAATTAAAAATAAATAAATAAAATTTTAAAAATAAAGAAAAAATAATAAAAATATTAAAATACAATAAAATATTAAATTAAAAATAAATAAATAAAAATATTTTAAAAATAAATTAATAGAATAATTTTTGAAAATAAATTAAAAAATAAAAATATTAAATTAAAAATAAATGAAATAAATTTTAAAAATAAATAATAAAAATAAATAGAAATAAATAAAAATAATAAAATAATAAAATAAATAAAATAAAATAAAATACTAATTTAAAAATAAATAAATAAAATAATTTTTCAAAATAAACAAAATAAATTTTAAAAATAAATAAAATTTAAAAATAAATAAATTAAATACATTTAAAAAATAATAAATAAACAAAATATTAAATTAAAAAAGAAATAAAATAAATTTTTAAAATAAATAAAATTTAAAAATAAAATAAATAAATAAAATAAATCTAATAAATAAATAAAATTTAAATAAATAAATAATGTAAATAAAATAAATAAAACAAACAAATAATATAAATAAATAAAATAAATACATTTTAAAAAAATAAATAAAAGCTCAAGAAGTGAGGGATTATCTCACCATCCAGGGTTTTGATGGAACTGAGTGCAAAGGTTTCTTCCTTCTCAAAATCATCTCCCACCTCCTCCCAGGCAGCTGCAAAGTTGGGTTTTAGAACTTTCTGGAGATGATCAGACACTGTCACCTCCAAATCTTCCAGCTGGGAGGGGAAAAATGGGAAATTTCGGTTATGGAAATGATCCTCACCTTGGAAAGGGAAAAAAGCCCAGTTTTGCCAAGAGAATGCCTGGTTTGAATTCCAGAAATATAGAATATATTCATACTATTTATAATATTATAATGTATATATAATGTAATATATAACATAATATTATAGATACAATATAATCAAATATTATAGATAAAATATAATAAAATATTATAGACATAATATAATAAAAGTATTAAAAATATAATATAATATAACATGTATAATAATATTATATTAATATAATGATGTAATATTTAGAATATTCAAAATATAATATAATATATATTACATATAAAATAACTATATATAATAACATATCATTATCATATAACTATATAACATATAGTGATTATATAATATGTAATTTCCCCACTGAAAAGAGGGGAAATTGTATTTTAGGTGGTCATTTGTAAACATTAAAAATATACAAAAATTGCAGAAAAAAATGGCAGAAAAAATGGCAGAAAAAATGGCAGAAAAAATGGCAGAAAAAATGGCAGAAAAAATGGCAGAAAAAAGACACAAAAAAGACACAAAAAAGACACAAAAATGACACAAAAATGACACAAAAATGACACAAAAATGACACAAAAATGACACAAAAATGACACAAAAATGACACAAAAATGACACAAAACCATCTGTGGGACTAAAGGAGAGCAGAAAATGAAGCCACCAGTCGATGGGTCAAATCCCCTCCTGGACTCCTTCCATGGAGAGTTTTCCTCACAATGCATGGAATCCCAGGATGGTTTGGGTTGGAAGGATCTTTAAAATAATCCAGTTCCAACCTCTGCCATGGGCAGGGACAATTCCCAACATCCCGGGCTGCTCCAATCCAGCCTTGGATATTCCAGGGATTTGGGGCAGCCACAGCTGCTCTGGGAATTCCCAAATCCCACCCCAATTCCCCTTTTCCAATCTGGAGCCATTCCCTGGCTCCTGCCCCTCCAGGCCTTTCCCAAATTCCAGCTCTCCCGGAGCCCCTCCAGGCCCTGGAATGTGCTGGAAGCTCTCCCTGGATCCTTCCCTTCTCCAGGAGAACATTCCCAGCTCTCCCAGCCTGGCTCCAGAGCCTGACATTGGATCCATCTCCTCTGCAAGGAATTGATGGACCCAGGGCCTTCCCTTGCAATCTCAGGAAGCCACCAAGGCTCTCCCTTCCCTTTCCCTCTCTTTCCCATCCCCATTTCCCAGAAAAATCCCTCGGCATGGATTCGGAGCCTCCCAAATCCCAGAATCCTGGAATGCTTTGGGATGGGATCCAGGGACCTTCAATCCCATCCCATTCCAATCCCACCATCCCAGGCTGCTCCAACCCTTCCTTGGCCATTCCCGGGTTCCAGGGGCAGCCATGGCTGCTCTGGGAATTCCCAAAATCCCACCCCAAATTCCCCTTTTCCAATCTGGAGCCATTTCTTGTGTCATCTCCTTCCAGGCCTTTCCCAAATTCCAGCTCTCCCGGATCCCCTTTATCTCCTGGAATGTTCTGGAAGCTGTCCCTGGATCCTTCCCTTCTCCAGGAGAACATTCCCAGCTCTCCCAGCCTGGCTCCAGAGGAACGTTTATTTCCTCCACTGCTTCCTGAAATCTGCATCCCTACCATGGAATTAACAAAATTCAATTAACAATTAACAAAAAAATTCAAATATCTGGGGTGGAAAGATTGGAACCAAAATCTGAAAACAGCCAATGGAATTTATTTCATTCCCTCCTCCTCCCAAATTCAACTCCATAAAAAACCAAAAAAAATGAAGTTTTGGGGATGTAAAAAACGACATTTGAGGCGATTTTGGCGTTTCAGGGAATGTGTTGATCTGAGGATTGAGAAGAAACTGGAGCTGGTGGATGAACCAGGTTTATCCCAAAGGATGTGCCAAGGGAAGAGGGAATAAATCCTGGGACTCACCACGTACTCATCCTCGTAGCCTTCCTCCTCGGGCAGCCCCGTGCCGGGGTCGCAGTCGCGCACCGTGAACCGCATGGTGCAGCTGAAGGTGCAAGCCACTGGAAAAGAGAGGAAATCCTGGATAATCTGGGGAAATTCCTCTGCTGGAGACCTCTCTTCCCAAAAAAATCCCAACTGGAATATCCAGGGGTTTTGTCCCAGGAATACAGATGTGAACTTTAATATCATTTTATTAAATTAAATTTAATCTTAGTTTTTTAATCCTAATTTTTTAATTTTAATTTTTTTAATTTTAGTTTTTCTATTTTAGTTTTTTAATTTTAATTTTCCTAATTTTAGTTTTTTTAATTTTGAATGTTACTTTTTAAATTTTAATAGAAGAGAGAAAAGAGAGAAAAGAGAAAAGAAAGAGAGAAAAGAGAGGAGAAAAGAGAGGAGAAAAGAGAGGAGAAAAGAGAGGAGGAAAGAGAGGAGGAAAGAGAGGAGGAAAGAGAGGAGGAAAGAGAGGAGGAAAGAGAGGAGGAAAGAGAGGAGGAAAGAGAGGAGGAAAGAGAGGAGGAAAGAGAGAAAAGAGAGAAAAGAGAGAAAAGAGAGAAAAGAGAGAAAAGAGAGAAAAGAGAGAAAAGAGAGAAAAGAGAGAAAAGAGAGAAAAGAGAGAAAAGAGAGAAAAGAGAGAAAAGAGAGAAAAGAGAGAAAAGAGAGAAAAGAGAGAGAAAAATGAAAAGAAAAATAAAAAGAAAAATGAAAATAAATTAATTGAAAATAAATGAAAAGAAATGCAAAGAAAAGAAATGGAATGAAAAGAAATGGAATGAAAAATGAAAAGAAATTAAAAGAAAAGAGATGAAAAATGAAAAGAAATGAAAGTAAAAGAAATGAAAAGAAATGAAAAGAAATAATGAAATGAAATACAATAACACACAATAAAACACAATAAAATACAACAAAATAAAACACAACAAAATAAAATAGAGTTTAAACTCTAACTTTTTCACCCAGTGAATTAAGAAAACTTTAATTTACACACTCCCACTTTCAGCTTTTCTATTTAAATTTCACAGTTATTTTCACGTATCACCACGAAAACACTCCCATAAATTTCACATGACATGAAATTCACAAGCGTGTTTTCATGGTGATGCATGGAAATAAATGTTAAAATTAGATAGGAAAAGCTAAAAGTGTGAGTGTGTAAATTAAAGTTTTCTTAAGTCACTGAGTGAAAAAGAGTTTAAAATAGTTTAAAAAATAGAAAACAAGATGGAGGATTTAGAATGTTGTCTCTTTTCCTTCTTTCTTAATTTTCTTCTTTTAGAGGTTTTTGGGTAATTGCAGGTGATTGGACAGAAAATGTCACAGTTGAGTCATTGGGTCACCAAGAAAAATAATTAAGTTGTCATCTGTTAATTGGGTAAATGGACATATAAAAAACCTTGAAGAGGATCATTGTTGGCCATTTTACCCCTTTTTTATCACAGTGCAATGTTGGAGTCTGAGATACAGAGTGTGTGCAAAACAACAAAAAATAAAACAAAACAATAAAAAATAAAACAATAAAAAATAAAACAAACTTGGAAATATTTCTGATATTTCCTCATCCAGAATATTTGGGTTTTGTGGGGTATTTTGATGAGTTCTCCCAAATCCAGGGGATAAAAAAAGGAGGTGGATTTTCCTCACCTGGAAGATGTGTTTGATGCAGACAAACAAAACAATAAAAAAATAAAACAAATTTGGAAATATTTCTGACATTTCCTCATCCAGAATATTTGGGTTTTGGGGTTTTTTTTGCCCAAATTAGTTAAAACCTCTGTGACCTGTGGGGGATTTGTGATGTTTTTTGATGATTTCTCCCAAATCCTATGGAAAAAAAATGGAGGTGGATTTTCCTCACCAGGAAAACGATGTGGTTTGGGAAGATGTGTTTGATGCAGATTGCAGCAAATAAAACAATAAAAAATAAAACAAATTTGGAAATATTTCTGACATTTCCTCATCCAGAATATTTGGGTTTTGTGGGGTTTTTTGATGAGTTCTCCCAAATCCTGGGATAAAGAAAGGAGGTGGATTTTCCTCACCAGGAAAACGATGTGGTTTGGGAAGATGTGTTTGATGCAGATTGCAGCAAATAAAACAATAAAAAATAAAAAAAAGCCTTCAGGAGAGTTTCTGACCTGCAGTGGGATCGTGCTGGGGGATGCTGACCAGGGTGTAGCACATCCCAGGCTGGTTGTAGGCCAGGCTGGGAGCGGGGATGCAGCAGACGACGTCGTAGGCGTCCGACGGCTCCACCTGCACCGTCACCCGCTCCAGGAGCTGATCGTTCAGGGTGTTGGTGCAGTCAAACTGTAGAAAATAAAAGAAGAAAGAAATAAAAGAAAACAAGGAAAAATAAAAAATATAAAACAAAAGAAAAGAGTAAAAAATAAAACAAAACAATAAAAAACAAAATAATAACGAATAAAATAAAATAAGAAAAAATAAAGCAAAATGACAAAAAATAAAACAATAAAAAACAAAACAATAAAAAACAAAACAATAAAAACCCAAAACAATAAAAAATAAAACAAAATGACAAGAAATAAAACAATAAAAAACAACAAAAAACCCCAAAACAATAAAAAATAAAAACAATAAAAACCCAAAACAATAAAAAAGAAAACAAAACAATAAAAAAGATAACAAAACAATAAAAAAGATAACAAAACAATAAAAAACAATAAAAATAAAATAAAATTAAAAAACCAAAACAAAAAATCCCAAAACAATAAAAAATAGAACAAAATAATAAAACAAAACAAAACCCCCCCAAAACAATAAAAAATAAAACAAAACCATAAAAAATAAAACAAAACCATAAAAAATAAAACAAATTTGGAAATATTTCTGACATTTCCTCATCCAGAATATTTGGGTTTTGTGGGGTTTTTTGATGATTTCTCCCAAATCCTGGGGATAAAAAAAGGAGGTGGATTTTTCTCACCTGGAAAACGATGTGGTTTGGGAAGATGTGTTTGATGCAGCGAACGAAATATTCTGTTTCTGCTTCTGTCAGCTGCACTGCCTCTGAGGATTTGAATAAAGGACCCAGGCCCTTGAATTCTGGGATGGCTGCCAGTTGTTCTGGGAAGGATGGAAAAAAACGGGATCAGGCTCTGGTGATGATCCCAAAAGCTCAGGGAATCCTGGAAAGGTTTGGGTGGGATGGGATGTTGAGGATAATTCACTTCCATCCCCTTTTCCACTCTCCCAGGGTGCTCCAAGGCCTGGTTTTGGGTAATTCCAGGGATCTGGGAATTCTGTGAATTCCAGCCCAGCCAGGAATTCCTTCCCAAATCCCAAATCCCTGATCTCTCCTACCTTGGAAGATATCCTGGCGTGAAGGAGCCACTTTCTCAGGTTTGCTGGGCACCAGGGCAATCTCTGGGGAGACAAAAACAGCAAAGATTAATTAATTAAAAGCAATTAAACCATGCAGGTTTAAATGCCACTAAATATTCTATTTTATATAATAAATATTTAATATTTTTAATTAAATATTCCCCACTGCCAGCCTGGCTCCTCACACAATGAAATATCTTTTTTTTTTGATCTTTGGTGTGGAAATGCTGGATTGAAAGTGTAAGAAATAAGTCTGAGTTATGAGGAATAAAACACACTTTAACCCTGAAGAGCTTGCAAAAAAGAAAGAAAAAGAAGAAAAAAAATTTTAAAAAAGAAAGAAAAAAAAAGATAAAAAAGCAAAAAAGGAGAAGTAAGAAAAAAATAGAAAGAAAAGGAAGGAGAAAAAAAGGAAGGAGAAAAAAAGGAAGGAGAAAAAAAGGAAGGAGAAAAAAAGGAAGGAGAAAAAAAGGAAGGAGAAAAAAAGGAAGGAGAAAAAAGGAAGGAGAAAAAAGGAAGGAGAAAAAAGGAAGGAGAAAAAAGGAAGGAGAAAAAAGGAAGGAGAAAAAAGGAAGGAGAAAAAAGGAAGGAGAAAAAAGGAAGGAGAAAAAAGGAAGGAGAAAAAAGGAAGGAGAAAAAAGGAAGGAGAAAAAAGGAAG